GGAGGGCCTGGGGGGGTCTGGGGACGATGTTTTGGAGGGTTCTCCCACGGGGGAGTTCTGAAATGGCTTGTCTTGGAGGGTCCAGACCCCCTCCCTTTTATTACTAAATCTGGAGTGTTCGACATCGTTTTTACGTACCGATTTTGGTCGTGCCAAACCGATACGTTCGTGAACATGTCACTCGAATATCCGATGGTCACGCAGTGTAAGGGGGAGTGGTTCGCATGTTGAGGTGTGCCTACCCCCGCCAAGGACTTCTGCCCTGGCAGGCGCTTCAAGGTCCTTGTTTCTGCTCTTCGCTTGGCTAGCCCCCGCGCCAGTCTGTGCTCGACAGTGCCAGTCCACAACTTTTGAAGCCTGTGATTGCCACCTGCATTCTGAGGGTCGTATGTCTAGGCCTTCTAGATGGGGTCGGAGTAGATGTGGTCGGAGGATCGCGCCGCATCGCCGATGCGTCGGCGATGCATCGGCGATGCGGCTCGGTGTGGGGCCAAATGTTCTCCACGCCGACGTCGCCGATGCATCGCCGACGCCGCCAGCGCATCGCCGATGCATCGTCGACGTATCGGCGATGAGGCGAGATCCTCTGACCCCATCTACTTGGACCCCATCTAGGAGGCCTCTAGTATGACCATTGAGCACCAGACTTTTATTGCTTTCACTGACTTCTGCTCGGCCACGGCGACTGACCGTACCGTAGCACTGGAGAGGCATGTTCCCGTTGGTTGCTTGACCAGGTCCTACATCCTATGATGCTACCTGCACGCGCGCGCACTCTGGTGATGACCCGCGCGCCCGCCTGCGCTAAATGTTAGAGGAGGAAGAGGTACCTTTACCGGTACCCGTCGCGCGTTTTTCCCTTTTTGGGCGGCCCTCGTCACCAACGCTGGATTCGCCTCGAAATCTTTGTCAGAACGCATCCCAGGAGAGGTCTGGGGAGTAGCAGTATCGGTACCCGTTGGTTTCCCCCCAATGGGACTGTCTTGGAGCCATCTAGGGGGTTCTCGGGCAGTCTTGTTGCATCTGGGAGCCCTTTGTCACAGAGGGCTCTGGGAGGCTTCTTCAACTGCTGGGGCACAGTCTAGTGAGGCCCGAAGGCCGGCCAGTTGTATATCGGACCTCGCGCCAGGACTTCAGGGCGTTAAGCTGGAATTGTTGAACACATGCATGTGCATTTCAATGTATTGCGAAGGCCTTACGGCCAGTGCCGCCAACCCTGAGGGCGACGACGACGACGACGACGAGTGCTCTCGGGGGCCTCTTCGGGGGGGCCTCTTGGGAAGCTCTGGGGGGCCGCTTGGAAGCCTCGTGGGGGCCTCTTGGGGTCTCTTGGGGGCTTATTGGGGCTTCTTGCGGGGCTTCTTAGGGACCTGGGGGCCTGAGAGCTTCTCAGGCCGAGGGCTTGAAATGTCCGTTCGGGTCCCCCGTCTGGGCTCCTCCTTGGAGCCGTCTTGGGGGCCTCTTCGGCTGTCTTGGAGGCCTCTTAGTCGGTCTTGGGGCCCTCTTGGGTCGTTTTGGTGCTCTCTTGGAGGCCTCTTGGGCGATATTGGGGCGGTCTTGGGGGCTTCTGTCTTGGAGCGTCGGGAAGCTGACAAGGCGAGAATGCCGAAATCTTTCAAAAACTTAGGGGAAATCGCTGATTGTTGCTCCTTAGGGCCCTCTTGGGAGTGCGCTTGTAGTGGGAACTTCCGAAGCTGTCTGGAGGCTATTCGCGGCTTGGACCGATACTTCGGCGATTCGGGTCCCTCGAGGACATTCTTGGGGGCATCTCGGGACACTTTTGCTACGTCTTGGGGATTGTCTGGGCTCCCGAACCGCCCGGAGGGGAGTCGTATCTGACCCGGGACCCCCCCCCGGGACCCCTCCCCGGGACCCCCCCCCCCCGGGACCCCCCCCTGGACCCCCCCGGGACCCCCCCCCGGTGGGGAAGGGATCAAAGGGAAGGGGCTTCCCTTCGACTCAACTACAGCGCTGCTCAATTTCGCTGTGGCTGGCGCGCTCGAGGAGGAGGGCCCGGTGAAAGTGGAGGCAGCGGCGCCAGGCTCAGGGAAAGGGAGGGGACCGGCGACGGCGACAGCGACGACGACGACAACAACGACCACGACGACGACGAGGACAAGTCAAACGGAACAGCCTCTTCCACACGCCGACAGGGTCGGCGGATTTGCCTACTTGGGGCCTGCTGGAGAGTCCTTGGGGTCCCTCTTGGGGCTCCTTGATGCTTGTTGGCAGCTTGCACGGAGGAGGAGCAGGAGGAGGAGGAGGAGGAGAAGGAGGAGGAGGGGCGGTCTTCGCGGAGTTCTGAAGGAGTCGCCAGGAGGCGCTTCGTGGCCGTCCGTGTGGAGTTGTACGATGTGGCAGGGGGTCGGTCGTGCACGTGCCGCGTCGAGCAGGGCGCGATGTTGTTCGGATCCAAACGCCTTGCCCAGGGGGATGCAGCGGAGATGCAAAGGAGGAAAAGGTACCCATACGCCCGTTTTCCCCTTTTTGGGCCTCCTGGGAGGCCATCGTCGCCACCGTTGGATTCGCCTCGAAATCCGGGTCAGAACGCATCCCGGGAAAGGCCCGTGGAGTAGCGGTATTGGTACCTTTTGGTTCCCCACACGTTGGTCTCTGCTCGCAGGCATCGCAGGGCGCGATGTTGTTCAGATCCGAACGCTCTGCCCAGGGGGACGCAGCGGAGTGCGGCCCTGGGCAGATCCAAGCGGGACTTTGCGGATGTTGCGACCGGTCTGATTGTCGCCAGGATGTGGCTGTTGCGAGTCGCCTGGGTGGACTAGTCAGGCCTCTGTGGACGCTGCGAGTCGTCGGACTGTCGCCAGTTTGGTTGCGGCCTTGGGTGTCGAGCGGAGGGCAGTTTTGCGCACCCTCCGTGGGTGCCTCGCGGTCCACTTGTCGCCATTTTGCGGCGTCCCTGGGGGGGGGGGTCCTGTGGAGTGGGGTCTACAGTGGAGGCCCATGCCAAGAAACACCCTGCTTGCCTCCAGGGTGCCCTGGGTTTCTTGGGTTTCCATTGTTTTGTCATGGACAGCGTGACGTTCCCACACCAAAAGTCAATGGACGTCCTGGGGTCTCAGCGTTGGGTTTCTTGTGGGAGGTTTCTTGTGGGGGGTTCTGTAATGATTAATCGAAAAAATACCCTAACCCTTTGGGAGGGGACCTAAGTCAGGAGAGCCAGATACATCAGGGATAGGGGGGTCTTTTCTGCAGATGTACCAGGCCAAGCCGCAGGCCTACAGTCGAGTCCGATCAGGGCGACTCCGCCAAAAATCGATGGCACCCTTTTGTCCTGTGATTGCCGACCCATGCCTTCTACATTCCTATGGCAATGTGGCGTTCGGAAGGGTCTGGCGTCCTCTCGCGTGTCATCTCCAATCCAACCCGACTGCACGCAGATACCACGGGACCATCGAGTCCTCATACAGGCATCGTTGGGCGCCTGGCGGAGTGCGGACACGCGCTGTCCCAACCGAAACCTCGCGCATCTTGGATGCCTCGAAGAAGACAAGGCCATACACATGAACTTTTGGCGCTCCGCGCGGATTTCTAGCATCCGCGCTGGGCCAGCCTGGCGGCGCGTCCGGTGCCGCACCTGGCGCGGGAGGGGGGCCAGCGCGGATGCAAGAAATTCGCCCGAGGCGCCAAACAGTTTATGCTTGTGTCGTGCTTCCTTCTTCTACCGACGAGACCTCGCGCATCTCCAGTGCCACCAGGAATTGCGAACGTCGACTCCTAGGAAAAAGGATTGCCGATTAGTCATAGATTCCTAGAGAATAATTGGAAACTATGGGACATGGGGAGGGAAGACGCAAAGCCATAGCATATGTTAAGATTGGAGGAATCCTGGGATTTGTACCTATTCAGTCAGGTGTCCCTGGGTTCCTTCAGCCAGGGCCTGCCCACGTCGCCGCTGTCCTGCGCCCCTCGGGGTGCCTCGCGCAGCGGCCGGCCCCCCTCGACGCGCAGACAACCGACGAGGCCCCCCGGCCCGTGCGCACGGCCGCTGCCAGACGCGCTCGGTCGTCGCCGCGCCCCTCGTTTGCCCCTGGGGGGGGGGTCCAGCTTGGCATCGCTCGGACGTGTGCATGTTTCCTTCGGCGAGGACCATCGAGGAACATCCTTGATCATTTGGCGAACAAGCCACGCACGAAATCGAACAAAAGCACAGGGAATGGGCATCCGAGTGATGGCCAGCCAGAGTGGTGCCCAACGTCCAGAGGAGGAAAATTCGGCGATCGCAGACATGGATCAAGGGGGCGTGTATTGGCGACGGGTCCCGTGTCCATGGGAGATCGCGGATGTCTGTTGCCGAGCGAGGCGGCACCGGCCGCACTTTGGGGAGGCCACCTCCCCCGATCCGTGGATTTGGCGACTCGGTCCATGGATCTGGCGACCGCGCGCCAAATCCATGGATCGCTAGTCCATGTTTGCGCGCCCCCGAGAAAAGGTACCCATACCTATACCCCCCGCCCGTTTTCCTTGTTGTTTCGGCCTCCTGACAGGCCCTCGTCGCCACCGCTGGATTCGCCCTTGCGCACGAGTGCTGCCAGACGCGCTCGGTCGTCGCCGCGCCCCTGTGCCCTTAGGGGGGGAGCCAGCGGGGTGCCCCATATGGGTCTCCACTCTCAGATCGGCGGCAAGCGAGGGGGGAAACGAGGAGTAGGAGGTCCTCTCAGAAGGCGGCGGGACTTTTCTTCAGAGGCCCTCGCGCCTTCCTTCGGAGAAGCTTGCTCTGTTTTCGGGGAAGGCTTAGAAAACTTCTCAGAAGTCCGGGGAACTTCCGAACCTTCTGAGAATGCCTTCGCCTTCTCACTTCCCTCGCTCGCCGCAGATCAGAGAAGGATAATGTACCCAGATCTCTACCCTCCGCCTGTTTTCCATATTTTTGGTTTCCTGGGAGGCCCTCGTCACCACCGCTGGATTCGCCTCGAAATCCGTGTCAGAACGCATCCCGGGAAAGGCCCAGGTAGCGGTATCGGTACCTTTTGGGTTCCCCAGAGGTGCCCCGCATGGGTCTCCTCTCGCAGGCGTTTTTTCTCCCCCGGTCCCCGATTTTTCGAAGAAAGATGGAGCCGCTCAGAAGAAGAGGGAAGCCTTAGGATACACCCCCAAGGGTGTCTGTTCGGACGTGCCCGTGTCGGAGATGGACGCCCCCCATCGTATATCCCAGGGTTGGGCCCCAGATTTCAGGTCCATCCGAGAACACCACGAAGCCACTGAGAGCTTTGAGGACGCGCAAGCATGCACTAAGGCACGTGCGCCAGTGACGGGGTTCCCGCTTCCATGCAGCATCGGCGCACCCCGTCGCCAAATCGGGCAGCACCAGCCTCATGTTTCGGCGGCACCTTCCCCGATCCGTGCCAGCATGTGCCCGTGAGTTCCATGCGTGTCGAACGGGTCGGATCTCCTCCTCCTCCTCCTCCTCCTCCTCCTCCTCCTCCCCCTCCCCCTCCTCCTCCTCCTCCTCATCCTCCTCCTGCGCTTCTTCCCCCCTCGTCCCTCTGTAAACGTTTTAGGCGCGGGCTGCCGACACCCTCAAAATCGCGTGCGGGCCGATGCGCCTGTTCATGCTCGATAGGTTCGTGGATTTGACGACCGCCGACGTCAAAGTCACAGGCCCGCGTCAGTTGGGAGGCTCTGCTTCTCCTGATGCGGCTCCGAAGTGGCGCCTCCCCAAGCGGGCTGCCGACGGCGAGGCCGCGGGCGCTCCTGCCCTCGGCAATGCCAAGGCACCCCCGCCCAGGCAGGGCGGAGGCGCAACTTCGGGGTTTGGGGGACCGAACGCCGCAGCCAGCGGTCCGCAGGAGAACGCCGTTCAAGACAAAGGAGACAAGAAGAATCGCAACCGCCACCTGGGCAAGGTCAAGGACATGGGTTTCAACAAGAAGCAAGCGGCATTCATCAACGTGATGGTCAAGCAGGTGCTGCTCACCTCGCAGATGGTGCGGGACCTGTGGGCCGCGGGCGTGGACACGTTCTTCATGGACGCAGACGCGCCAGAGGTGGTCGCTGTCAGCGAGTGCGGGGTGACATATTCACACGAAGTCCGAGCCCGCGGAAAAGGCCACCAGCTCGGTCCTCCTCACCTTCATATCTTCGATGGGTTTCTCAGCCAGTTGCTCGAGCGTGGAGTAGCGCTGGGACGGCTGACGCGCGCGAGGCTCAAGCTCTGGCACGACAAAGCATGGGTGGAGCTGCGGACCGATGAGCTGTACGACATTATGCGGCTGTTCCGAGTGATGAAATGTTACGACCAGACCAAGCGCAAGAGACACATCATGCGGAGAGACGTGCCGATGGACCAGCCCTCGCCAGAGTCCGACGAGCAGCCGCTGCCTTCTCCCATACAAGTCCGCGGCCTGCTGCAAAAGGCGCTGGTCGAAGCAGGGGCGCGCAGGGCCCTGGGCGCGGCGCCTCCTGGCGCCATGGAGGAGATCATGCAAAACGCGGTGGACGGCAAGGAGGCTAGCGCGTGATCGACGGCAAGTCCTGGCCTTCGGGGGTCAGGCTCATGTCGCGTTTTGTCGTGGCTTTGCGGCTCGAGCTGGCAAGTCCTGACCTTCGGGCAGGCTCATTCGTCGCGTTTTGCCGTGGTGTGCGCCTCGAAATTTAATCTTGGCCTTCGGGAGTCAGGTTCCGTCGCGTTTTGCTGCAGCTCGAACACTACTCGGGCGTGAGTTTGTTTCGTACTTGGTGCTGTTCACTGGCTGCACCTACGAGTTCGCTGATTACAATGGCTTCGGCCTAGCGCCGTGCATCGTCAGGGACGTCGTCGCGCCCATACGTGACTATGCGGTTTCCGACCAGGTGTGCGGCGTGCTCGTCTAGGCCGGCCTTTCTTTTATGTCGCAGCGCTCGCTGTTGGGTGAGTCTCTGACCGATCAACCGCCGACCCTGGGGGGGGCCCTTCGCTGCTCCTGCCGTCACCCCCGCTCTTCTCGTTCGCCTCTCCTCCTGTTATTATTGCTCCTCTCGCCCGTCCTCGGCCCATTGGGTGTTACACGAACGGTCTTTTGTGGCCTTGCTGCCCCTCCCTGCCTGGGGTCACGTTCGCATCCCACTCGTCGGTGCGCACGTCCCCGGGGCTCAGTTTTTCGGTCCGTCAGGGCCTGCTGGGCCCCGCTCAACTTCGCGACATTAAATTGTCGTCCCACGGGTGCATCCTCAGAGCTTCACGCTTTTGAAGATTTAAATCGTCTCTTCGCTACGTATCTGCACGCTTGCGCGTACACACTGAGCTAGGCTCTCGCGGTTTTCCTTGCTGCCACATCCGCCACGCTTAGTGAGAACAGAAGTGCGGGCCCGAAGTCGTGTCTAATATAATATCATTATGTTGCTTTTCCTCCTGCTCCTTTTGCTCCTCCTCCTCATGCTATTCGTGTTCCTCCTGCTCTTCCTGCTCCTCCCGCTCCTCATCCTGCTCCTTTTGCTCCTCCTCCTGCTCCTCCTGCTCCTCCTGCTCCTCCTGCTCCCGAGCCCCCTTCGGGGGGGCCCTCGGTTTCGTCAGCCCCTTTGGGAGACGGGCTGTCTGATGGGCTTTCCCGATGACCGATTGGGGGGCGTGAGGACGGGCCCACATGAAGTGGCCATTCGTCATCGAGGATGATGAACCGTTATCCTTCATAACATAGTGAAGGCGTGGCCTCACTTAGGTCCCCGTGCACTGGGGTCAATACATCAATGCCGATCGGCTTGACACATGTGCAGAAACGAGCCCCATATCCCGAATTTGTTTGGCCCTCCTAACTTAGGTTCCCTCGCAAAAAGGGTTAGGGGTTCTTACATTGCTCATCAAGCCGGAAGCACGTTTCAATAGTCGGAAGCACGTTTCAACAGGCAGGCAGGCAAGCAGGGAACCCTTGACGAGTGTCGAGATTGAGCGCTCTCTCGGTGGACTGCTCTTTGCGCTGCGAACGCCAGCTGGTAGACGCGATGCGATTCGAAAACGTGCTGGCGAAGGGAGCTGGTGCGGGCCTGGAAACTTGAAGGGCTCGGTCGGGAGGCCCGATGTCCTTCCAAACGAGCCAGAACTCAACTTGTCGGCCAGGGTCCCGCCGGACCCGTCTATGAGATCTTCTAGAGTATAGGACGCACGCAAAGCCTTGAAGAGATGAATATTGCACGAGCTTCGCGTTTCAAAATGGTACCTGTAGCCGACTCGCAGCATGTTTGCCCTGTCCGCCTCAGTCCAAGAGAGGCTGGGAAGGAGGCGCGGAGTGTTGGAAGTTGGCAGATTTGCCATGGCATCGTTTTGGGACTCGTCAGGCGCAGCTTCAGACATGCGCGTCTACCAGGCATGGTGACCTGAACTTCAATTTGTTTTCCGCGAAGTTGCAGTCGCCGTGCGCATTATGTATTGAGCTCGGCTACCGGTGCGAGCAGGACCCCACTGCACGCCTTATGTCGCGATGGCACTTGCATCCGTAATTAGTAGGGTTCTCAGCATACTTGTAAGCGAGCGGGGCAGCCTACCGAGGCACGGTCGAGACTAATGAGGAGTCTTGTGAGAAGTCCCTGGAGTATATGAAGCAATGGACCGACTAATGAGGCAGCGATTCGACCATTGCTTGTTGAGTCGGTCGGGCCATTTCTAACAGGTGGGATTCGTTTAGCAGCATCCGTGGCTTCGTGACAGATTTCTTTGGAATTATCGATCGGCCGGGTGCATCATTTGATCGTTCTGAAGGGGAGTGTTTCGGTCGACTGCTACGCTCGACATAGTGTGCACAATATTCAACGAGTAGTCTGGGCGTTGTTGCTTGTCATGTGGTACTTAGACATGATGTCCGACATTGGCGCACTGTATGCAGCAACAGTTTCGCGGCGCAGATTCGAACAGTTGCGCCACAAGCCGAGAGAGAGACCATCGAGATGAGACGGTCGAGAGTGGCAGAAAAAGAAGTGATTTTCGAATGCCGCCTCTCCACATATCGTCGTAACACATGTTCCACCATCCTCCTGTGTTTGATACCGGTGTGTAGTAGAGCGCTGCTGCTCCCATCCCGTTCCGTCCTCTCCCGCTCCCCCTCCCCTTTTGGTTGCCTCCTCGCTTCCTCTTCGCTTCCTCTCTGCTTCTTCCTCGCTTCTGCTCTCTCTCCCTCAATGGGTGCTGCCAGGCGCATAAGGGACGCGACATTAATTAATCGCTGCGCTTGCACCGCCAGCCCATACTGCGCGCCCCCAACCTGATCGTGGACAAGACGCTTGTCTGGGAGGCTTCATGGGGTCTCTCGGGAGGCCTCTCGGCGGTCCTCTTGGCGGTATTTTTGGGGCCTCCTGGGGCCCACGGAGGCCTCTTGGAGGCCTCTTGAGCGCCTCTTGGGGGTCTATTGGGGCCCCCCAGGGGCCTGTTCGGGCAAAGAGCTCGAAGTGGCCAGTCGGGCCCTCCGTCTGGTCCCTGTCTTGGAGCAGTCTTGGGGGCCTCTTGGGCCGTCTTCGAGGTCTCTTGGACAGTCTTGGGGCCCTTTTGGGTCGTTCTGGAGCTTTCTTGGAAACCTCTTCGGCTGTATTGGGGCGGTCATGGGGGCCTTTTGGGCCGTCTTGGAGCGTCGGGAAGCTGAAAAGGCTACAACGCCAAGATTCATCAAAAACCAATGGACAATCAATGAGTTGTGCCTTTTGGGGCTCTTTTGGAAGGCCTCTTGGAGGCCTCTTGGGGCATCTTGGAGGCCTCTTGGGCCGTCTGGAAGCCATCTTGGGTGTTTCGGACGGATCGTTCGACGACTCGGAGCTCTCTTGGACCGTCTTGGGCGCCTCTTCGGGTCCACTTGGCGCGCTCTGGGGCACCTGGAAGACGCGCCCAGGAGGAAAACCATCTCTGATCTGCACCGCCAGGGGACCTGCCGGGGTACTTTTCATCCAGGGACCCCATGAGCGTCCCCAGGCGCGCGTACTAGAGATATTGTTAGTATGTTACTCGGGATCTTAGCACGCCTCTGACCCGCTGGGCCAGATAATTTCGTTTATGGGAGGGCAAGTATCGAAGTGTTGTCTTACATTGCCCCCCCAAGTTGACTTCGCCTCACCGTTCGGTCCCCGCTGCGCAACCGTCGCCAGTTTCGTGCGCGTGTGGGTCGTCAGCGGAATGCGTCTTGACCGAGACCACGCGCAGAGGGGGGTAGGGGGAGGGGAAGGCTTCTTAAAGACACCCCTGCTTCTTAGAAGGTGCGGGCCTTGTCTGTAGGTGTAGAGTCGGCGCCTTCTAAGAAGTGGCCTCCTTCTAAGAAGCCTCCCCTAGTCCCCTCTGCGCGCCGCCAACCCTTGGTGGTGCGAATTGTGCAAATGTCGTCTGTGCGAGCTCGTGGGGGAGCGATCCACCAGCAGGGCGTGGTCTCTTCCCCCGACCTCGTGCCAGTATTCGCCGTGGTGTGTGTGTGGTGCCACTCGGGCAACAGTCCACACATTCGTGAGCGCATGGAGGGCCAGCATAATGGTTGTTTTCCGAAGCCCAAACGCGACAGTCAATGCACACCTGTCGCACCACCATTATTTTGCCCTGCCGGCTCTCTCTCCTTGCGCGCGTTGTCCGCCTGCTGTACTGACTTGTTTTGCTCCCGCAGCTATATTCTTTGGCTCTAGGGAAACGGGAAAGGAGCGAGCCTGCGGCGCGCGCGTTTGCGTCGGCTGGCGGGCCAGCCTCCTCCCTTCAGTGTTACCTTAGTGTATGCTTGACGGCACTATCCCTTCTTACCCATGTCATCCGCGGGACCCACTGACCATGATATCTCATCGGGACATGTTGCAGGGTTCCTGGATATCCAGGCGAATGATTGGTTATCATCCGAAACGACGGCACAACCGTTCGCTTCGCAGAGCGGGGGATCTCACGAAAGAACGTTCGTACGAACAGAAGATCGAATACATTCCGTACGTGACACAATTATAAGCGCCTCAACGAGGCGATCAAACCCTTTTAACCTTCCCATTAAGAAAGCATCAGGGACTATGTTCGACCTAGCGGAAGGGATTCATCGGTTGATTCAACGACAAGATCCAAAGGCCAACGTTCAAGCGGAAGGTATGGCACAGCCAAAACCTCCGCCGAGGGACCCTCGGAGCTGGTATCGGTGCACCCTGGCTTTGAGCCATCGATCGACATAGATCTCGACAAGGGGAATTTGTTGGGTCATACCCCCATCGAAACATCCCGCGCTGAAAGTATGCGCTCCGAGCATGCAGTGCAATGCACGTTTCATGGACAGTGTGAGGATGCGAGCGACCAGCAGTCTGAAGGCGAAAGTTCCCACTCGATAGAACAGAACGAGGAATATGCCTTGTGTCGCACCTCGTCAGGTCCGTCGCGTCATTTCGAGCCTCTCCTTGATCTGCGTGTCGGTCCCACTCCTGACCGCGCAATGATAGAGGCAAGTCAGAAAGCCATCAGTGACTCGGGCGATCACTGCAGAGACGGAAGGAAGCTTCAACCAAGGTGAATGCTCAACGGCGCAGCCGATATCGAGCTCCACCGACGCGACGCGCGCGGTGATAAATTCGCGAGTAGCTACAGGCATGCCCCCCCGCCCGCGCACGAAGAAACCGAAGGGTGATAATGGCGACTTGAGCACCTCGCCCTTATTGCAGGGCTTTAACAGACCTGACTTCTCGTTGCCCAGAACGAACAGAGATAGAGTGCCAGAACGCGATGAGCTCGAATAAAGCCGCCGGCAGCTTCTCGACGCGGGAAGGCCGCTGGAACGCCGGGCCAACGCGCCCCGCTCGGGCGGAGAATTGGCGCCCTGGGAAAGCGCGCGAACCGGGGGGGCATGTCGAAGACCCGTGTGTTCTCAATGTTCGCATGTTGTTCCAATGTACCCTTGCGTGGCTTTGAAACGAGCGCATCGCGATGGAAGAGCGCAAGTGCGAAGGCCGCCGAAGAGGCCACGGACACAATTGCGACAACTTGACGGTCTGACCATGGAGGGGCGGCCAGGGCGGATGGGAGGGATGAGGGATGGGGGGGGGGGGGGGGGGGGGCATGATTGGGCCAGAAAACTACGTGGCACCATTGCGACAACTTGACGGTCTGAACATGGGGGCTGGGCGGACACCAGTTGGCAAGCGCCCGATCATCGAGAAATCAAATCAAGTTAACAGCGGTACGTTGGACTGCGTTGCGCCGGATCAAGAACCCAAATTCTTTATGCGTGAAGCATGTGAGATTGCGCGGAGGACGGTCAAACATGCACTTCTCCGTCCTAGTGGCGCCCCTGATGGCTCAGCTGGTCAGGGCGCCAGATTGGAGCCACCAGCGACGCAGTCGTTCGGTAGAGGGGATCCAAGCGCATCAGAACCACCGCCTCCGGCACGAGGCGAGGCCGCAACGCGGCTTCAAGAGGGGGGCGACTCCGACGACGATGGCCCGGGGGGAATTATTGTGGGTGACGTGCTTGCGGTGCCTGATGGCAGGGGGCCCCGGCGCGATTCTAGACCCGACGATGACACAGGACAAAGGCTCGGTCTTGCCCATGCGGGGCGCAGGTCGGATCGTCAGTCTAATTTCTCGGCGGCGCAGCCGCGGTCGAGAGCGCCCTGGGCCAGGGCAACTTCTGCCCCGAACTACGCAGAACTTAGACACGATGGAATATTACGATCGACGCGTTGTCGCGGGCCTTAGCAAGGATGGACTGACGGGAAAACTGTCGTTCAAAGGCAGGAGGAAACCTTGCAGTCTTAGGGTCGTTTTATTTTACGATCCTGACTATGCCCCCGCGGCACGCGTCTGGGTCACAGACCCGGACCCACGTCATGGAGCGCAATGGCTCAAGAAATTGCCCAGTTCCACCAATCCGGGGATTCGCCCGAGCCGACGGTTCAACATGGGCCATGCAGAACGGAGAAAAGCGGAGGAGCAATCCCGACTCGAGAAAATAGGTTTCCTCTGAGTCTTTGACCCGGGACTTCGCTTTGCCCTTCTTCGCGACAGTGGCATCGACGCAGTCGATCCACAGAGCGCGCGACGCAGCAACGCAGAAACTGAGCCCCCAGAGGGCAACCTTCATCCCGGCGATGAAACCCGCCGAGGAAAGAAAGGAGAAGCGGTTGTGCCCGAGGAAACTGACGTAGACTGGCGCGCCCTCCTGCGCCCCGCGGGAGCGGCAGCGGAACGCCCCACTGATGTAGGCTCTGAGAGTGACCAGGGTACCTCCGATGACAATGAAGCATGGCGGAAACAGAGTTGGCATGGTGGGACCATTTTGCGAGATGGGTTACTCCTGACACAGTCAGGGAGGACATCGCGCCCCCGCAATCTTTAAGGTCTGACGGGAACAGCCTGACTTCGAGTCCGGCGGCCGCCGCTTCGCGACGCAGCGTTCCCCGCGCGCCATTGCAGTCGCCTGAGCCATGTCCCCCGCTTCATCGTGAGGAAGAAATGTTAGATACAACCTGCCGATATAATCCGTTCACCGATGGTATTCGAATCAGATAATAGGCGCATGAATTACCAGCTGAGGTTCAACCGCAAAGGAGCGCCGCGGCCGTGGCACGACCCGCGTCTATGGCCGAAGCTGCGGTGAACCAGGATGCTCGCAAAGCACTGAGAACCGAACTGGGTCGATTAAGAAGCATCGGCACTTGGGATGAGTCGGGCGCGATGGAATACAGCGATGTTGTTCGGCAGCGGACAGGCCAAACGATTCATTTTGGATGCCGCTTTGCCATTTTGGTCGAAAAGATCTCCGACCTCCCTATCGGGCACAAAGACCGCAAGCATGAAGGCCGCGTTGTCTTTGATGGACCTGACGTTCGAGATCAAAATAGAGAAGTAGCTTTGTTCCAGGAGCTTTCTAGAAGCCCATCCACCAGGCAGGCCAGCAAGGCGGCGTATACTTATGGCCTATTCGAGGGGAGTGACATTCAACAGGCGGATGCCAAACAGGCTGACACTCAGTCCAAACTAGGGGGAGCTCCAGCATGGATTTGCCTCCCAAGAGATGGCCGTCTGCTTGGAGAGACATGCGGAATCCTGTATGTCCTCTGATCCTTTCACTCCACGGACATCCTGACTCTGGTGGACATTGGGAACAGCATTGCGAGGGACACGTGGCCCCCCAAGGGATTTATCCAATGCGCTCCTTGGCGTAGTTGTTATTTTCATACTGGACTGCGTTTGTTCCTTATTATTTATGTCGGTGATTGCAAATTGTCTGGGCCAAAAGAAAATATTGAACAAGTTTGGCGCCTCTTGCAAGAGGCCTCTGACGGTTGCCCCAAGGGCATTGAGGTCGACCCACCAACTAACGTAGGGCGATATCTGGGCTGTGAACATCATCTGCCCACGCAATGCGTTGAGTGGCACGGTGAGCTACCGACCGCCCTTGGCCCTCCACCGCCGAAGGTGAAGAAAACGCCCACCTCTGGTCAAACAGTGGAGAGCGATGACGAGGAAGCGGGGCGTGACTCAGCGGCGCAGCCGGCTGGGCCATACCAACCTAGACAGCCGAAAATAGTCAGAGCCATCGACTAGGATACGAATGAGTGATTTGCATCCTTCTGCGACGCTCTATGCGCAATTGGCCGATACAGACCCTGCTACACATCCTGCTGCTGGCACCCCCTCGGCCCCGAACTGACTGATTTTGAGGATGGACAAGGAGGTCCACGGGGGAGGGGGGGGGGGGGGGGGGGGCCACCGAGATTCGGTCTCTTTACAACCAGAACAACCACTTTACAACCATATGGGTTACTTTACAACCAGCATAGGATTGGAAAGTATGGTTTTTTTCATCGAGAACGTCCACTTCGCAACCAGAACGGCCCACTTTACAACCAGAACGGACCACTTTACAACCAGAACGGGCCACTTAACAACCAGAACGGACCACTTTACAACCAGCTCAGAGTGGCTGTGCGTGGTTGGGCGTTCCGCAAAGTGCTCCAGAGCAAGTGGGCGCTTTGAAAAAATGCCCCAGAGCAAGTGGGCGCTCTGAAACATGCCCCAGAGCAAGTGGGCGCTCTCAAAAGTGCTCCAGGGCGCGCGGACGCTTTGAAAAGTGCTCCAGAGCACGTGGGCGCTCTGGAGCCCGAGCGCCTGAACTCTTTGCGCAGGCCCCAGCGATGCCTCTGAGCCCGAGCGCCTGAACGCCCTGCGCAGGCCCCAGCGATGCCTCGGGGCCCGAGGACCTGGACGCTCTGCGCAGGCCCCAGCGATGCCTCTGGGCCCGAGCGCCTGGACGCTCTGAGCAGGCCCCAGCGATGCCTCTGAGCCCGAGCGCCTGGACGCTCTGGCGCTCTGAGCCCAGCAGACTAAGACAGGGCTTGCTAGCAGGGGCCAAGCGGCCTCAACAAGGGCCCCGTGCTCGCACGGGAATAAGGCGACAGCATACGTAGGAAGGCTCAGGGCGACGCGCTGCCAGTTTTAGGGGCCATTCACAGGAAGCGAGCCCAGTGGCCTCCACAAGGGCCCAGCGCTCCAGGGAACTAGGCCATTGGCACCGCGGGTCTCTTGCGCCACGTTGGCCCCTGAAGCCCCACGGTGTTCTGCAAGGGGCTCAGTGCTCCAGCTCCAGTTGGCCCCCTGCTGCTCCTCTTCTTGGAAGATCGAGGTTCAACGTTCCGAATACATGCAACTATTTCGAAGATCGTTCCTTCCAGCGTCAGCCGCAGCGCCAGCGCAGCAACGCATGTATCCTGCTCGGGCAGCAGCCTCAGCCACCGTGCCAGCGCAGCAGCTTGAGCCACCGCGACAGCGCACCACCGCCACCTTTGCGCCTGCTACCACCAAACTTACCGCTGCAGCCCCGCTACCCCCACAATTCCGACTGACCCCCCGCTGCCACCGCAAATCCCATTGCAGCCCAGCTACCACCATAGTTCCCACCGCTGCCTGGCGACCACCACAGTTGCCACCGCAGCTTCCCAACGCCATGCAGTTCCCATTGTAGCCCCCGCTACCACCACATCTCCCACTACAGCTTCCCACTGCCACGCAGCTCCAGTCTTGGACGGGATCATGGTCCATTCGTATGCCCTGCGCGACTAGCCTTCGCCCGTCAGAAAAAAAAGGCAGAGCAAGCAATGGCAGAATTGACCGACAGAGCTTAGAGAGCAGGTCAAAACCCTGATCCGCCCACCAGCACGCAACATACCATAGCGCACCAGGTCGCCGCATCGCCAACACGTTCGCAGTGCTTCTTCGTGCGCAATGGGCAACTTTACAACCAACATGCCTCAGAGAGCCCAAAGCCACCCTTGCGCTTGCCCGCGGAGATTCCAGGGAAAGGCCCGCGTGCATTCAATATGTTGTTTTACTTGCCTGGTTGTAAAGTGCCCTTCCTGGTTGTAAAGTGCCCTTCTCGGATTTTGTAAGCTGGTTGTAAAGTCACCCATCTGGTTGTAAAGTGCGCTTCTGGTTGTAAAGTGACCCACGCGCGGGGAACACCCCCCTGCAGGAGGCCATAGCAGCCTCGCTCGGGATCCCAATTGACACAGGTTCCCCAGACAAGCCCGCCGAGGTTCCCGGCTTGGCGGCGGAACCCGGTCCAGAGGACCCTGAACCACCGACGCCGTCGTTTTTTTGCATGCTTCTCGCTGCGAAAGTTACCCTGCAGATCTTATATGGTGCGAGGATGGCCCGGTATGATTTATTGCGCGCAGTTTGCCACGCCGCCGGGTGCGTCGCGAAATGCGCTGAACAACATGACATGGATGTTGTTTCGCTTGATATACTACATCAAGTCCACGACCCTGTATAACATGGCGCCGTGGGTAGGCGACAAAATGGGGGATGTCTCGGTCCGACAGTACTCCGACGCAGACCTTGCTAGTGTCTTACGAACGCATCGCAGTGCGAGTGCAAGTCACCATGTGATTTGGGCACCATGCACGCGAGCTAACTAGAGCATGGCTTCTCGTCGGCAAACCTGCGTGTCCCATAGCACGCTTGAGGCAGAAACTGTCGCAGCAGATCCAGCCGTGCGCGCAGAGTTACTGCCGGCCCTGCCGCCGTGGAAAACTCTGCTACAACGAAAGGTCAATTGCACACTCATGGAAGATAACCAAGCAGTGTGTAAGGTGATACAGGTGAGGGGTCGATGAAATTGATGCACCCTCCGCGCGCCCGCCGCGTAGACGCCGCCGCCATTTCTAAGCAGTTTACCCGTGGAGCCGTTACTTTACAGTATGAACGGACTCAAAACGAAGCCGCCGATATTTGCACAAAGCGCATTATTGACCCTCTCGCATGGGTTCAGGTTCTTTACCTTGTTAACAAAGTGACCCCTAAGTTTTGGAAGGTCAACTGGTATCAAGACTATCTAGACGGACTTCCCTTGGAAACCGGGGGGATTCTCAAGCCGCGGATAGGTCTGAAGGCCGCGGCCCGTCAAGGAGGCGCGGTGCAGAGCAAAAAGACGCACGGGAAGAAGAGAGCCAACAGGGGAATGCCAGTGACTGCCGCTCCTATAGGACATAAAGACATGGCCAAAATAACAGCCGCCTCAACAGACGGCAAAGCCGCATCTGCTGAGGCACAGGCCCATGCGCATCCTTTGCCGACACCGGACTCTGCGGTAGCCGATGACAAGGACGGTTCCAGGAAAAACTACCATCAGCGAGTATCGAGAGAATATGAAGAAACGAAGGCTATGTTTGAGATAACTGACAGTGAATCAGACGCTTCAGATGTAGCAGCACATTCTCCTGATGAAGATGGCTGCAGCGAAATTGCCGATGCGGCCGCAGTAAAGTCGGATGAGAATGAGCGGATGCCTTTGATAGCACAACCTACGAAATAACCACAAATCTACAAAAACAAATGGATAAGAGAAAGAGTAATACTTGAATATTGTTGCAGGTCAAGTAGCAAGATAGGTAATGCAAGACATGCCGTTGATAACTCATGCAGTGTATCGCGATGCACCGAAAGGGGGGAATTGAGGACTGAAGATGGCAACCAAAAACAAAGCACTCACGGATATCAGAGATTTAAGGGAAAACGTATTTCGTTTTGGGGTGCCATCCCGTGCACTGGAGGGCCTCCCTGACAATGTGCTAACGAAGCTCATTTTTTACTTAACAGCGTTTGCTGATAGGTTTCTAGTAGGGTCAAAAGACAGCATCATGACTCCTCAGGGGGGTCTGGGCGGGTGCCGGGGAGGAGAGCCGGGAATCGTTTTTCGCGAACAGTCACACATTTCGTGCTCTTCGACCTCCCAGAACTCCATTCCCGGGACACATTCTGGAGAAACGGGAACAGAGCCGGGTTCGCTTTTCGCCAACAGTCACGCACTTCGTGCTCTTCGACCTCCCAGAACTCCATTCCCGGGTCACTTTCTGGAGAACCGGGAACAGAGCCGGGCTCGTTTTTCGTCAACAGTCACACACTTCGTGCTCTTCGACCTCCCAGAACTCCACTCCCGGGCCACATTTTCAATGCCCGGAGCCAACTGTATCTCACTTCGTGGTCTTCGAGTTCCCAGAACTCCATTCCTGGGCATGATTTTGCATCCCCGGAGCCAACTGTAGGCCACTTCGTGTTCTTCGAGTTCCCAGAATTCAATTCCCGGGCCACATTTTGAATGCTGAGGCAGGCTGATGCTGAGGCTGAGGCAGGCTGAGGATGAGGCAGGCTGAAGCTGAGGCCGAGGCTGAAGGCAGACTGAGGCTGAGGCTGAGCAGGCTGAGGCTGAGGCAGGCTGAGGCTGAGGCAGGCTGATGCTGAGGCTGAGACTGATGCAGGCTGAGGCTGAGGCTGAGGCAGCCTGAGGCTGACGCCGAAGCTGAAGGCAGACTGAGGCTGAGGCCGAAGCAGGCTGAGGCTGAGGCTGAGGCAGTCTGAGGCTGAGGCAGGCTGAGGCTGAGGCTGAGGCAGGCTGAGGCTGAGGCTGCGACTGTGAGCGAGAACAGCAGAATTCTACAACTGGATTCTCATCTGAATCTTAAGGGGAATGCTTCCAGATATGCTCCTACACATCGCTGTTAGGTTGCTTTGCCGGGATAATTCTGTAAAATCGGTCGCGGATCTCTTCGAAGGCTCCGAGGAATCCGAACAGATGTTCGATACCTCTTTGGGAATTGTAGAGAAATTGCACGCGCTGTCTTTGACGCGGGGGGGTATGGTTTGCTTTGCGCGAGCCAGTCAGCGCCAGTGTTGGAGGGGCCCTCAAGTGAGAGCATTTGTGAGAGAGATAGTGTTGCATAAGACAGCGTTGCGCGGATGTGCGCATGGGTTGAAGGATAGAAAAGGGCCATCGTTTCAACGTCTAGCATTGTTACCAGCGGCCTGGAGCGGAAGTGCGACGGCACGCACGCGCGCGTGGAGGCGTGCGGTAGGGATTGCAAGGTTGCCGAAGATTACACATACTAGTTTGCGAAACGGATTCACGTAGTTGTTACGCGCGCTGCATCGCACTCCCCCCTCCATCTTCCCCCTCCCCATCAGGATGCGCGCGCCGCTGCCATCTTCTCCCGCGGGCGGGGGCGGGGCCGCCGTCGGCCGCGCCCCCCCTTAGCGGAGCCTCCGCGTAGCCGCGGCCGCTCCACCCTCGCGGGCCGCGGGCGCCAGCCTGTAGCCTCCCGGCCGCCCCCCCGCTGGCGACGACGGACTTTTGCTCTCTCGGCGGCGCTGCCGCTTGAGATGCACTCGAAGGACAGGTGGTTCTCTCAGTGCCAAACGATAGGGTGCAGATGCCTCTTTGGGATCGCCTGGGCACAGTCCAAGGTGAACCCCGCGAAGGACAAGGAATCGCCAGAGGAACAGGCAGAGGAACGGATAACGGCACAGCCTTTGGAATGCTACGATAATGTAGACTGCTCAGATCACTGTTGCAAGGCTTGCCGGGGCAGCTGCGATAGGCGCGACAAAGATTACATTTCTACTCGCGACGACAGGTGCCGCAAATGCGATTTCTTCACGAACAGCCCGACCAAAATTGGAGAATAAGGAAAAAAAAACAACAAACATTAAAATAGATTAGTATGTTCGCCGAGAAAGTGGGGGCCCTCAGCCCCCGAGCAGCCATGCCGCTAGGGAAGCTTCAAGTACCACATATGCACGCCTGGGAGCACTGCCCGCAGGTTTTGGACGCTACAGAGGTGATTGTCACGGATCATTCAGATAGCGAGCCGAAGGCGGTGAGTCTTCCCAAGGAAAGAGCGAATACCAAAGAGTGGACCGGTGTGGAACTAAAACACGTACCAT